GTCTTGTCCTTTTGTGCTCAGCATTTTATTTGAAATGTCGGTAAAATTGTATCCGCTTCTCATTGCTTTGGGCAGGTAATTTTCTTCCTTCTCTGAATGTAATGTTGTTTCTCAAAGATTTAATTCAAAAAAAAAACATTTTCTTCGAAGGGGAAGCAGAAAATGAGCACATTCCCTGCATCTCTCTCTATCTCCGTCATTGCTGATTAATGCAATGCTGGGTTTTTCTGCTGAACGGCTCATTGGTAGGATTATGTAATTGAAATGAAGTTGAATTCTTGTGTAAGACTATAAGCATTTCGTTCATATGCATAAACATTTTAACAATACTTACTATGAATAGTAGTTTGAATGAAGCTGTTGTTGCATCATTATGCATATTTTGATATTTATTATGGTATTGAAATAAATCAGCACTTGGTTGAATATTCATTAGTGTCATCTTTCTAATTTCCTTGGCACTGCTATTTGGGAAGTGAAAGTGGTGCAGTTTACAGATATTTTCCTTTACGTTTGAAACCTTATTTTTATTTGACATACGAGTATTACTTTTTACATCTCTGGAGAATGCACTATACCATAAAAAATCTTTGGAAGACTCAGTGTTTCATCCTTATTCTAGTAGTTGATAGGCGGCTATCTTGCAACGTGCAAACCTGATGGATGTAGATGATAACAAATCAATTGCTGAGAATGGAGTGGACCATGAACGGGAATTCCACCAACAACTTCCTAGTGATGAAGATGTTTTTGCTGATAAATCTGATTTGATTCCCAATGGACGTTCTACTAATGAAGACCTAGAGTGTGATTTGAAGCGCACTGTTAATTTGAATGAAGATGAAGCTCTTGACTCTTCTGTCCAAGATGCTAAACAAAGCCATGTGTCTGGCTCCAAGGTGTGTTTTTACTATTTAAGGAATTAATTATATCCTCTTAGACCCACATAATGTGTCATTCAAACTTCTTTATAATCAGCAGGATGCTGAATTATCACGTTCTGGAGAGCCCAAGACTGGCAGAGTAGAAAAGTCTCTTGGAAAGCCTAAAACTGGTAAAGTTTCGAGCCTCATGGGATCAAAGAAGGGACAGTTTGGAAAAGATGTTTCTTGTGGTTCTGTCTCAAATGGTACAAGTACCCCAGGATCACGGGATAAACAATCATCTGTGCATAGGTCTAAACCATTTGATGATAAAAAAACTGGTGATGTCGATTCAAAGACATCATCTGCTCTTGTCAAGACTAATAATGCTAAGGTAATAAATGTGTGTTCATGAAGTCATGATGGACTCTGGTGTACACAATCACTTCTCCTTTTATATGCTTTCGTTGATTATTGTGTATAATCATGTGTCAAATTCATTCTTGTTGGTAAGCAGCAGTCTGGACACCCTGGCAAAACATCTCCAAAGAGGGTTGAGCATCTTGAAGGGCTTAAGTATGTCATGTCTGATTCTAACATGCTTTTAAGTGACTTTATGTTACCTCGTGGTCATCCTTATACATTAGTTCAGCCATATTAGTAATTTACTATGAATTAACTAATTTTGTTAACCTCATGTTGCAATAAAATTTTCTTCTATCAGCCTTCTGATATGTAGTTTTTTGTGCCAGAGAAAATCCTTCGCTGAAGCCATTGAAGAAAGGACCTCTAAGTAAAGCTGAAGTGGCCCAATCTGCTTTGTATATTCATCCACAACAATATTTTTCTCTCTACTTTAAGGGTCTGTTTGGAACCCGGAAATGCTTCAGAAATAAAATAGGAAGGAAAACATTGAGGAACGTTCGAAGGAAACAAAATGTGGGGGACAGTGAATGATTAGCTAAAACTCCTTAGATTTGTTTAAGATATTTATTCATACTCATTTATCAATTTCCTTAAAGATTATTTTTTTTACTATTGGTAAAATCTTATATAAATAAATAACCATATTTGATTTCCTTTGCATTTGTCATTGAACAAACACACATAAGAAAATATTTTTTTAGTAATTTTTTTCTTTTCCCTACCATTTTCTGGGATCCAAACATACCCTAAGACTTTCATAACTTGGGTTGCATTTTATTGTTAAGTTTCGTTTTTGTTATCTTTACCTACTTTACAGAAGTCCTACCAGCGGGGATTCTAAGTCTTGCAGAGCTGGTGCTCTTCCAAATTATGGTTTCAGTTTCAAATGTAATGAAAGAGCAGAGAAAAGGAGAGAGGTTAGCTTTAGATTTCACTGCAAGTGAATTGGTGATTAATTTCACCTGGCGGTTATATGCTATATATCTCAGATTGAGTAAATTCATGTTTTTTTTTAGTTCTATTCTAAACTTGAGGAAAAGATCCATGCAAAAGAAATGGAGAAGAGTAATATGCAAGAGAAGACAAAGGTGTCTATCTGAATCATATTTATTGCACAGAGATTTAGTCTTTATGTTCTTGATAGTGTTATGCATTTGGTTTTTGTAACCAACATCATTTTTATTTCTGAATAGGAATCCCAGCAAGCTGAGATTAAAATGCTTAGAAAGGCCTTAGCTTTCAAAGCAACTCCTATGCCAAGCTTCTATCAAGAACCTCCACCTCCTAAGGTGGAGCTGAAAAAGGTCAGATCTGCTCATTTTGCATTGATATGTCATGCAAGTGTGTTTCTGTGTTATGTAGTGTTGAAACCAAAACGAATGTATATATAGTTATATACCTTTTGTGAGACCTTTTTGAGACATCGTGTGCTAGCTTAGTCATTAAATAAGAAGGATACCAAGGTGTCTTTGGCTGCTCTATGGAGGGTATAAAAAAGTGTTTTAGTCACTAATAGAGAGTAAAAGCATAGGTGCAGTTCAACATTCCCTTCAAATAGAAGTATCATATGTTTTAACTTTTAAAAAGGTGCAGTTCACCACCTCCTAAAAACTAGAAGAAAAAAAGTATCATATATTCATATGTTTTAACTTTTAAGCTAGTTGCAAATATTTTCAATCCCTTGAACTTTAACATGCAATTTGAAAGATTGAACTTGGTTTCAAACTTAAACTTAACTATAAGCTTGGAGATTGAACTTTGAACTCCCACAAATTTATTTCTTTGTTATGAACAGTGATGTCAAAAGTTCCAGGCAGACTTTATTTCTTGTTAATGAGTAGTTTCTTTAATTAGGTTTCTAGGTTGCATTGAATGGTCAGTGCTTTTTTAAGATAAATAAAAATTGTAACTTCTCAAGGAATTTAGGATTTAAAATCCTCTCTAGTAATAAACGCAACACTCTCTATGACAAAAGCACAACATCATCTTCATTTATTATGTTATTTAGGGTATGTTTGGGAGTTTGAAGGGAATGAGAGGGAAAGGTTTTGAAGGTTAGTCATTGGAAGGAAAGGGAAGGAAACCCTTCTTATTTAGGAGTTACAAATTTTATAATATAGAGGTTATGAATGAGTATAATTAAAATCTTTTCACATATATGGTGAATTAAATAATTGAATTTATATTTATTTAAAACTGAGCTAAAGTTGTCATTATTTGTTATCATCCAAAATCCCTCAATTTAAGGGAACTTGAAAATTGAGCATTTGAAGGGTTTTGGAGGGTTATAAAAGCCCTCCAAAACCATCCCCTCCATATTTTTAAACTCTCAAACATGAAAGGGAGGGTCATAAACCCTTGTCAACCTTCCCTTCCCCTCCAAAATCCATCTCCCAAACATACCCTTAGGAAATATGGTCCTGCTTTATGTAGAGTTTAACCTAGCCGTATCTTGTAACCTTAGCTTTGGATGGTGCCGTAGTAAAATATAAGGTCTTAAACTTTGGGTATTACTGTGCTTGTTTAAGGTGTCTTCTTATACCATTGACCATGATACTGTTAAAACAGACTCCACCAACAAGAGCCAAATCTCCCAAGCTCGGTAGAAAAAAGAGCTCACCTACCAGGGAAAAGACTAATGTTCATGGTGGCACACACCATATCAGATTGAGCTTGGATGAAAGAGTATCTCAGGAAGAACCTGGCAAAAGATTTTCTCATGTCAGTGTGAAAACCCCCCTGAGGAAGTCCCTTCCGAAACTGCCATCTGAAAAGACCAATGTGTCAGGAGAAATAAGGAAAGCTCCAGCTTGCAGAGCTACTACCTTGAATACGGAGATAACTGATATTGCTTCTCATCCAAACACTGCAGCCAGTGTAGATACTGAAGCCATTACACCTAACGGGGAGACCCAAGAAACAATAATAATGGATGTTGAGCAACCAGAGGCAGTAGCATTTGTGGAGACAATTCAAACTGAAGCAAATGATAAGTATGTTGTTGAAGCTTCATCACAGTCAACTGTTGCCGAGGAATCCATCACAGCGGATCATTAAGAGCAAGAAGTGGAGTAAAAGATATCTTTCTTAAGCAGCAAACCATAAACCCATCTTTGCCAAAAATGATGGAATGGTATCGACAGAAGATTAAATGTGTATTGGTTGTAAATGTGCGCTGTCTTTCAAGATTGCTGAGCTTCTCATTCAGAATTGTTAGCAGATTGTAAAACTAAAACAGTACTGCTATTTGCACTATTTGTCAGTTGCAGGTTGTGTAGATCTGGGTTCTTGAGACCTCTCTTCCAGACTTCCATGATATTCATGACATTTTTTTTCTTGAAGTGCACAATTTTAGAACTTGGTTTGTGCTGGCTGTTCAAACAGGGATGACGAATGAATGCTGTTTGTTAATGATTGTGTATCTATAAATTATTAAATGCTTCGTTTGTTTGTTGTTTAAGGTTACCTCATCATCTTATTTATTGACATTGGAAGAAACATTGATGTCCAAGAGTACATTTATATTTCATTTATTCGATATACACAGTTTATTGGGCTTCATTGTGAAATTGGGGAACATGATGGCTTATTTTCTAGCATCATTATCACAATTCATTTTCATAGTAGTGCATGCTAGTTTAGAAATCGCCAATATACATATTTTTTTCTTTTATTAAATTCACATCGTGTTGAAGGATATTATGTATTGTGTACTATCATTTAGACTGAATACATTTTAGGAATCATACTATGTAAACCCTAATTGAAGTTATGACACACTTCTCTCGCGACACATTGCTTATTATTAACAGCTAATGTACTAGTAGATCATAATTATATATCATCTCAAAGTATTAGCAATGATAAAACAATTTATATAAATGTACATCATCATCATCATCATCATCATCATGAGTTGGCAATATATGAAATCAAACATGAAAATCAGACTATCAAGTAGTGAGGATTGGTTGCAGAAACCGAGCTTTGGTTCCAAGGACTCGAGCTTTGGTGTCTGGGAAATATTCCACACGAGCCTGGATATTTCCATTTTCTGAAACTTGTATAGGGTAGGTAAGAAGATGGCCTGGAAGATCTTGTTGAAGCTCTTCACTTATATACAATCTCCAATTCTCCTCGGCTATTTCATTTACTCTCTTAACACACTCTACACTTTCAGGGTGAAAAAACAAGTTCTCCATTTTGTTCATGTGCTCACCCCATAAGGTCATTCTGAAACCGAATATCTTCCCCATGGCGCGTTGGTTGTCGTGTGCTAGGTGCATTGGTTGGTACCCTCCCATCGCAATTTCCGAGTCCCGTGCACCATCCATTGAACGCTGGTTGATGTTAGCCGATCCAATTATTATGTACTCATCATCAACTAGCCAACAAAACATCATTGACATAATTAGTAACACGAACACATAAATAAATGTCATCAATTACAGGCACTTAGCCACTTACTAGACTTCTCCACATTTCAAAAGGCATATGAAAAATACACTGACCATTTTGTAAATGTAAATACACTAGTTTTTGTAATACTAGAGTCATATTAAATCACGTTTAATTAATTTAGACTATAATTTAAATGTGTAGTGACTCACCAATCATCATTTTGGAGTGGACATATATCATGAAGCGCCGGAATTCTTGAGCTCTGGCGTAATCGGAGCCGGGGCTGGGCTTCTCCGGAGGTGTAATCTCATCGGAGCCTTTTACTTCGCGATTTCCCAGGCAAAAGAACGTCAAGTATTCTCTCGGATCCGCAGAGAGGTTGGCCGCCTTTAAAGCATTAGCTATATCAACATACATCATCTCCATCGTTCTCCTTTGCCAATCAAGAATCGCCTGCACTGATTCGCTCCCCGGCTCTCCCTCCGGCCACATCGGGATCACGACGTACACGGTGAACCTCTCCCCCGCCGCAATCTTGCTGACAATCTTCAAAGAGAGCTCCTTGGGGATCAAGTGTATGGCGCCAATGTCCTCCAGTTTGATCCCTGATCCATCATTCCAGCCATATGAGCTTCCCAGGAAGTACTGGTTTTCAATGTAGATGAAGTTCTTGGCCCGGCGGATGGCGTTTATGTATGCATCCTGAATGCTCCTATCAATAACATGGGTTTTACCCGTTACCAACCCCAATTCTTTTGCCTTGATCGGGTCCCTCGGAAAACCCGCCGCGTCATTCCCGTCAATAGAACGGAAGATCTGAACCTTCCACCTCTCAGTATCATCCGACACGGTTAAATGCTGTGGTTGAATAATGTTCCGATCCTCGAGTTCCTTTTTGGAGAAAATGGCGGTCCGGCCTTTGAGTGTCATCCATCTCTGTTCGAAATTGAAGAGGACGTCCCATGAAGCTTGCCCTTCCAGCCTGCAATGGATGTCGTGCCATGGCTCCCTCGGCCCGCCTTTCACGAATGACGCGCCAGGGAAATTCGGCTGGTGGAAATCCTCCTTGTCTAACTTCCTAAACACAGAATGCTCCCTGGTGTCATACCGGCCGTCGCAGAGATCGATCCCGCCGAGGAAACTCACAATCGATCGTTTCCCGTCGGACCCGCCCTGAAGCTCGCAATCGGCAATCACCGTCTTCTGATGGTGAGTGAAGAGCGTTGTCCTCGTCGTAGCCTCAATGTCCTGGAGAAGCTCGCTGCCGGCGTCGGCATTCCGGGGGCACAGAACACATTCTACAGCGGTATTAGCGAAGAATTTGCGGGTATCTTCGTCATGAGTTGCCATCACCCCAACTCTGTGGATATACTCACTAGATGTCCTGTCGTCCCAAACCAGGAGAAGAACCCTAACGCCCTCGCCGGCTTTCTTCTTCAGCAGATCGCCGAGAATCATGTCCTGGCCGGGGAGAGCCTGAGATCTGGCCGGGTCGGGTCTAACCAGCCTGATTTTGACGTAGATGGACCAACCCGCTATGTAAATAAAGTGTTGGGCGTTAACGATGGCGTGGGAAATGTCTTCCCAGCACCGCCGGGCGGGTTCCTGCCATTGATACCGGCGATGGTGAAAAGGGGTGAAAACAGAGAAATTGACGTCATCGTAATGCGGGACATGGGCGTCGGCGTAAAGGGTGACTCTGCAATTCTCTCTCTGGGCAAAATAGGTGTTGGGTACGCCCCGGAAGTCATAATCGGGTCGGATTTGGATCCCTTTAGACCAGTGCTCGTCCCTTTTCACGCTGAAGAACTGGAATTTGACGTGGATCATAGCTTTGCCGGGAATGCGACGGCCGTTTTTATCGAGTATGGGAATTGATTTGTCAATCTCCTTCGCCGCCTTATTTGTGGACAAAAGTTCCTCCACCGGGAGGCGGGCTCGGCCGATGAGCGATGCATCGACGGCGTCGTCGAATTTGACGGTGAAAATGATGTTGGATATTTTGTGGGCACAGTAGATGTCAAAATTTTGGTTCCATTTGGGACCGGAATTAGTAGCACTGATGACTTGGGTTCGCCCTACTCTCGCCGTGTCCAGATCAATGGTCGCATAGATGCCATTTACCTGATGAATAAAACTTAAGTAAATTTAACTAAAAAATAAAAATACTCCATTTATGTTGATAATATTAAGAACAATAAAATTTACTCCGTCTATTGTAAGTCAATATTAAATGAGTTGTGAGATTATTCCAATTTTGCGTATATAATATACTTTCCTCCCTTCCAATATAAAAGGCATACTTTCCTTTTCGAGCCGTCCCAATACAAACGGCACATTTCCCCTTTTGGCAAACAAAACAGTGCAAAACAATGTCGAACAGTGTCCAAACAGTGTCAAACAATGTCTAAACAGTTCCAAACAGTGTTCAAACAGTGTTCACTCTAAAAATGTATGGAAACGCAAATGTGTCTTTTATATTGAGACAAAGGGAGTATTACCTTCGTCTCGAAAACAAGTTCTCGTAATGACTTTCACACATTTTTAGGAAATAAATTTACTGAGGGATAAATTTTACTGTTTCGACACTGTTTGGCATTTTTTTTGCACTGTTTGACACTGTTTTGCACTGTTTTGATGTAGATAATTTGCCAAATAAGGAAATGAGGAGTTTATTTTGGGACATCCAAATAAGAAACGCGAAAACTTGTTTCCGGGACGGAGGGAGTATATATCATGCACTGTATATAAAATTTTATTTTCGCATCATGATGGTATATTTTTTTACAAATGCAAATTTATTGGAGTAATAATATAATTTAAAATAATCTACTTTCTTAAAATGCAATTAAAATTCTAAAATTTCATTTATGAAATAATTTATATTACATCCGGTTTAATTAAATCTTAATTACATCCTCATTTATAAAATGTTTTGTGTATTTTAAATATTTTATATAACTTTTTATATAAATTTTGAGATATTTATCTCACACTCATTCAAAGTTTGGGATATTTAAATTAGTTTCTCCTTGTTTTTATCATGAAAATTGTAATTACTTCTCCCATGTGAAAAGGGGTAGTGCAACAATGTATACATCCATATATAGAGCCATAGAGGTCCTTTTGGAGACTCTTATTTTCTACTCCGTATTTATTAGGCTAATCAATTAGTTTTCTACTCATAATTGTTTTTTGACGCTGAAATTTGTAATAATCAAAATATTTGAAGTTGAAGTTGTTTTTCTAAATTAATTGATTGAAGCTAATGTAAATGATCATTTTAGAAGTTTTCCATATAATATTTTTATTTTATTTTATTAATAAAAGATATTTTAAAGATGTTTTTTTATAATTCAGCACATTCAGCCACTTTAGTCAGTTTCAATCTTGACAAACAGGCTCATAATGTGAGAATGTATACGGTATACTTAGCTTGAAAGGAACATTTATTAGAATCAAATGAATATAAGAACATATAAATTACCTAAAGAAGAAGATTCATATAGGGCGTGTTTGGCATTTAACAGGTTGTCAATAGCGAATTCAGTTAGCTGGTTTACTTGCGGAATAAGTTAACAGGTTGTCAGAAGATGTTTGGTAATTTAGATGTTTGGCCATAAATTAGTAGAAAACGCCATATTTCAAAACGCTAACCCAAACAGCTTTTTAGCTTTTCCGTGTTTCCATTCCAGCTTTTCCATCCTAAAACGCTAGTGCTGAACATCTATTTACCAAACATCTTTTTCGTTTTTAAAAACGTTAAGTTAGTCAAATCGTCATTTTTCAACTGAAACGTCATTTACCAAACTTTTTCAGAGTCAAATGATCTTAACACGTGAAATGAGCCGTTTCAAAAATTAGAGTAGGGTAATGAATTGAAGCTAAATGAGTGTAAAATTACATGTGCAATGTGTTAACTACTCCCTTTGTCCCTTAAAACTTTGCCAAGTTTGACCGGCACGAGGATTAATAAAGTAAAAAATGTGTGGTTGAGGTTTGTGCAGAAAAGAGAGAATTATATATTAACTGGAACCACAAATTCTTTACTTAAAAGAGAGTGGCAAAGTTAATGGGAAATCCAAAAAAAGAAAGTTGACAAAGTTTTAAGCGACGGAGGGAGTATGAAACACTAAAAAATGGATACCAACATAAAAAGAATTAATTACTTTGCTTTGATAATTTAGAAAACGTGTTTCATTCATAATTTAAACTAGGAGGCGTAATGACATATAACCGCTTTAAGGAAAATTCTTGGTGTACACCTTCTTATACACATCAGTACACCCCATTGTTTGTGAGAGTTTTTTTTTGTCTGTGAATGCCAGTTCACAGACAAAATCTGACTTGTTTTGTCTGTAGAATTTTCCACAGACAAAACAAGTCAGGTTTTGTCTGTGAACTGGCATTCACAGACAAAAAAAAAACTCTCACAGACAATGGGGTGTAATGACGTGTATAAAAACGTGTACAAAAGGAATTTTTGTAAGTGGAGATATAGATGCAAAGCCATTATCAAATTTTAAACTTGTGGTATTTTCATCTTTCACCCATCCAAAGTTGTTACTCGTAAATTAAAGCATTATGTACTTAAGTTTGGTTCAATTCACCTCTAAAATAATATGGAATATCAACATAATTTGAAAAAAAAAAATGATGAATAAAAAGCTCCATACGTAATATATATACGAATGGTATAAATAAACTTATAGCTAGAGAAAGGGTATGTATATATACCTCAGAGCGGCATAATAAGAATCTCTTGATTATGTTTAGAACGTATGCGCTCCACGATTGAGTAGAAGCACTCTTCAAATTTCCAAAAAAGGAACAAGTCAATCTCGACATATATACGCAATACGGGAAACATATACGTAGTACTCGGTATGAACAATATCATAAGATTGGAAGATGCATCCTTGAAATCGTTATTATTGTTGTAATTTTGCCCCCAAAAAGTAAAAACCAATATGGAATATTTTGTTGGTTAGTAAGAACCCGGGTTTTGCCCGGCCTGACGAACTATTGAAAGTTCGACACATGGTGAATAAAAGTATAAAAGACCTATACAGTTAAATAAACTAGTAAAGTTTTACCATTTTTGAATAATTATTTCAAAATGGGAGAAGGGGCATATTGCTCACTAAGGTTTGGATAAAAGAGCACATTAGACACTAAGATTATTTTAGGAGCAAATAAGTTAATATTTAAGCTTTTGAGTGCATAACACCCACCCACTCACGGATGTAACTAACCCCGTTTGCTTTCACCATAGTTTGACCGGCTTCTTTAATGCGGAGTACTTTATGTTTATTGATATAGGGATTATGAGATTAACTTTAATCCAAAATTTGCACCTTGCTATACTCTAATTTCATACGGATTGTAGTATGAGATACAAAAGCTTAAGTTTCATTTTTGGCTTGCTCCTTGCCCACGGCTTAGCTCCATCCAAATTCGAAGAATTCAATTGCAACAACCATGAAGTTTCCTCCATGTGCAAGCAACAACCATGAAGCTTCTTCCATGTGCAAGAATGACAAATGGAGCTTCCTCAACCACCATTGAAGTTTTCTCATGTTTAATCCCACCTTCATACTACCTTGTTTTGGTACTATAAATAGAGAGTTTGGAGAGTCTTTCTATCATCAAGTAAATTAGAATAGATCATCATAGCACAACCAAGAGTGTTGTGAATATCCTTGAGAGATATGTGAGGTGTTGTTTTGAGAGTTTTTAGTTAGAGCTTGTATGTCTCTTCTTTCTATTCTTGAAAGTAATAGAAGTGTTTTTCTCTCATATTAGCGCGATCCTGTTATTCTCAACAAAATTTGCACTATTATTTAATTCTATTGTGTTAAAGAAACAACACACATAATACACTTACTCTAAAAAACACAGAATACCATACTTTAAATTATTTTTTCCTTTCACTACATATTTGTATTAGGACCAATATTGTTAAATGTATTACGATGTAATTATTGTAAAATAATAAAATATTGTTTTATTATTTGACTAGATTTTATTGATAGCTAGTCAAATATATTATTTTATAGTTTGTCATACATAAGCTAGTACACTCAAATTAAATATAATTTTATTTTAGCGAAGAGAATATGGCCACAATATTATTAGCAGCTACAATATTTTTGGGCCCCAATATGTGTTAGCGACGGACAAAGGCGGGGCTAGAGAGGGCCAATCTAGGTCCTAATCCACCCCAAATTTAAAAACATTCGTGTAAAAAACATTTTTCCAAAATATTCTTTGTACCGATCACATTTGTTAGTGTATTTCAAAAAGCGATTCACTTTTGTGTTAGTCAAATGCCCGCACTTTTCCTATATAGTGATGAACATTTAGCATTTTATTTGTAAAAAAGTTGCTAATATTTACACTTTTTGTCACCATATTTCGCACTTAAAAATTGATCCGATTCACTTATTTTTCTCATTTTAATGGCTAAAATTATTTCTCAGTTTCATATGAAGAGTACTTTATATTAAAACATTTCTCTATGTTTATATAAAACGTATATATGTATACATAAGTACAATTATACTAATATGGCATATAGTCAAAAAATACACGTTGACATACATCAGGTATTAAGAAAACAATATAAAATAATTATGAATACATGGAAGAAAAACCTGGAGAAAAAACCAAATGGAAAAGAATTAGAAATCTAAATATTTTTTTATTGGAGTAAAGTTAATAATCTCATACTCCGAATCAATAAACATTGAAGTAGTCCCTATTAAAGAAGCCGGTGAAAGTAAACGGAGTTAATTATATATGTGAGTGGGTGAGTGTTATGCCCAAAAAACTTAAATATTGACTTATTTACTCCTAAAATAACCTTAGTGTCCAATGTGCTTCTTCATTTAAACCGGGCAATATGCACCTTATCCCTTTCAAAATAAGATCTTGGATGGGCATCCCGGGGAGGGGAGAAAATCGCCTCAAAAGTTAGAATGAACACCAATTTCACGTAAAATGAGATACTGCGTATAAGCTAAACAAGCTCAATTTATTAATTTCGAATATAATTTAGTATTATTATTATTTAGGAATTACCACATCTTTCGGTTATATTGCTAGCAATTTTCTCATGAAAGTTATACTTGGCAAATACTTTCATTTCATAAAAGAAATTTTGTTTGAGAATAATTAAAAGTCAATGATGAAGTATCAAATACTCCGTATTAACTTTGGGTGATGAGACATGAGTAGGCAGGGGCGGAGTCAGAGGCAGTCAGTGCACTGGATCGGTACAAAGACGATTTTTGAGAAAACATTTACACGGAGTTTTTCCCTAGAAATATAAATATTTTTAAAACTTGTGATGAGTCAGGGTCGGAGTTGGCCCCTCCCTAATTACGGCGATGCAGTTATTAAAAAAAATAAATTTATTCAGTTGATAATAAATACCGAGTATCATGCTAAATGGCGGAAGGGGGCGATTAATTACCTGGGCAGAGCCGCCGCCGCCGCCAGTGCAACCGCAGGAATCACTCGAAATCTTCCTATCAAGCCCATACACCGTCGCAACCAGCTTTCCGTGCAGCAATTGCGGCTGCATCATGGCCGGTCGGTCGGTCGTACGACGAATAGTATATGTATCTACGACTTGCTTACGTTAATAATTTACGTGCACAACCAGCGAATCTGAACTTTTCGAATTGACTCGCACGTTATATAGGAGCCTAAGAGGTGGGGGGGGGGGGGGGGTCGACGTATATATGGGGGTACGTAAGAGGTGAAGAAAACTGAGGCCGCAAGAAAGAATTATGTTTTGCTTTGTCTATAATTATTTAATTGCAAAGCAATTCGTGTCTTCCTCTTCGATTGTATCCTATATATGATTTAAACACTGATCGAACCATTTATCAAACTTATTACACGCATGAAAGGCAACCTCCACTTTGCTAACATACTCGTTATCAGTTATTGATGTATAATAACATCATCCTTACTTGTAATACATATTTACATCTATAATTTTATATTTGATTAATATACATGTAGCCATGTAGGGATTGGGTGGAGTTGAGTGGGGGCTGGGGGCAGTTACCCTTACCCCCAGCCCCCATGGTAGATCCGCACCTATTCACGGGGCTAAGAAGAAACACATTAACACAGGCAACAAAGAAAAAACTTTATATAGAACTAAAACAAAAATAAATTCATAAATAGGATTATCATTGTTTTATTTTTATTATGATGTATGTGTATACTATTTCACCAAGTTTCTGTTTAAATATTTATTACATGTGGAAATGTTTGATTGATTCTATGAAGGAAAATAGCTCTAAATATGAGTAAACTAATCCCTGAATGCATAAATAGGGATTGTGTTGTTTACCTTCTCAGAATATAGATAGAACTCATGTATAATTGTATACTCTATCTTCCTATAATACCCATATTATTATAACATAATGAGAAAATCATATTTTAATTTGTAATAAAAACATAAAAATCATAAAAAAAAAATTAATTTATTAAAAATCGTAAATATATAAAATAATCCCCCGTATTTAAAAGTTTGCTACACTTTTTTTATTTGGGATGTATTTATAAGTTTGCTACATTTTCCTATTTGGTAAGTTTTTCCTTTAAAAATACTCAACTGCCTTTACTTTTTCTACTTTTAATCTTGTCTTTTCTACTTTTTCACCTTCTCTCCTTCTTTTACTACATTATTCATTACCCATACTCTATGTAGCACGGAAACTCTCAGGAAAGAGTGCGTTTCCGTTTCGGAAACTCTCCAAACAAGCCTTTATTTGAGCAAAAGTTGACGTTTTCCGTTTTCATATGATTTTTGCGTTTCCGTGCAACATAGCCCCTATTATTTCCCCCTTAAATGTTGGCTTAAATATTGTGGCAAAACCTAATGTAGTGACCTTTTAAATAAGGAGGGAGTAATAAAAATAAATAAATTTTAAAAAAGATAGGGGAAAATAATATAAAGCTTTGATTGGGTACGGTGTGAGATAAATACCCCAAACTTGTATATGTAATATATATACCCCAACTTTATCTATAAAGTTATTTTCACGCCATGATTGTGTCTTTTTAAAATACAAATTTATTGAAATAATTACATTATTTAAAATGCTCTAAACTTTATTAGAATACAATTAACATTCTATACTTTCATTTGTGAAATAAATAATATTACATCTAGTACCATTAATTTATAATTACATCCTTATAAGTGTTTTTTGTATTTTATATTATGCACTTGACACCATAAAATAACATTTCTGAAAAAACATATGATCATGATGTTATAACAATTTTTTATATTTTAACATTTTTATTCTTTTTTATTTTATTTTTAAATTTTTTAAATTTGTAAATTTTTTATTATAAAACTAAATAACTTGAATTTTTTTTTTACATAACTTTACAAATTAAAACTTTAAAAAAAATGAATTTTTAAATTTTAAATTTTTTTACATTATTATTTTATTTTTAAATTTAAAAAAAAAACCTCAAATTTTTATTTTTTTACATTTTATTATAAATAAGTTATGTTATTACTTTTATGTGTTCATTATTGATGAAATATGAATTGTTTTAAAACAAAGCAAGTGTAAAATTGAATTTAGACCTACTTAGGGAATTTAAGAATTATACCCATATTGATCTTGCACTTTTTCATTTAGTCTTATTTGGAAAATTTTCCCTTCTACATATTAACTTATTCAATTTAAAGGTTCCTACGTCAAAATGTCACAATTATTTTGACAATAATTAAATATGCTAATTCGAGTATATTTTGAGAAATAATTTTGATGAGTATATAATATAATGGGTTATTGATGATAATTGTGATTTTATAAATGTATTTTTTTAGTATTTGATGATTAAATTATCATTTAAGAATGTTAATTGTGTCATATAATAGAAAGTGAAACCCCTTTAAATGAAACGTCCAAAAAATGAAAGTGGGAACCTTAAAATGAAACTGAGGGAGCAATTTTTTATTTTAATTTAATGTAATTATCTATTTTTTTTATATATATATATATACACTTATTATTTTAAGCTTATCACCCTACATATTTAAATATTATTGTAATGTTTCTAGAGATATAGCTGCAAGTGACAATGACATTTAAGTATTTAACATAACATATTACGTATTTTCGTCCAATCTTTAAAACTTTTCAACATAAAAACGTCTAATCAATTTTATATGCTAAATATAAAATTAAAAAATGGCATTTCAATGATAGATTGATTCATTGATCAATGATGCCTCGATAGAAAATAAAGAAAATTGTCTAGACGCTTTGGTTAATCTTTTCGCCACATTTCGGACATTCCAAAATTCTGAAAGATTCTGAAAATATCTTAGCTCAGGGAAATTCTTGGGGTACACCTTCTTATACACATCAGTACACCCCATTGTCTGTAAGAGTTTTTTTTGTCTGTAAATGCCAGTTCACAAACAAAACCTAGCTTGTTTTGTCTGTGGAAAATTCTACAGACAAAACAAGTCAGGTTTTGTCTGTGAATTGACATTCACAGACAAAAAAAACTCTCACAGACAATGTGGTGTACTAATGTGTATAAAAAGGTGTACAAAAGAATTTTTGTTTGTTCATCATGTTTGCAACTTCAGATCAACAATAATTGAAAAGTTTCCATTTGATTTTTTTTAATTCATGAAAAATAAAACAAAAGTTACTAAAAAGACTTCGGACAAATTGTGTGAAAACGGTCTGTCTTCCCTATTGCCCCTCTTGGATCACTTGGTAGTTGGTAGGGTTTTGATTCGTTTCTACCACCCTTAGCTTTGAAGTATGGGTCTAGCGGGCGATCCGCTGAGTGTGGGTGTTCTTCCGGCTTTTACGGTGAGGAAGGGTTATTGTGATGTCTTGAAGAGTGGTTGAGGCTACAAGTCCATCAGTTGAGGCGTTGGCAACAACATTGTCTGCGGTGTTCATGTCACCGGTTGTGACAATCCTCATCGCCTCATCGGGCTTGCAAGAAGGGCAGACAACAGTCTTCAAAGTATGACCGGAGGTCCAGAAGATGGAATATATGCATAAAAGGTTCTGGTAGAGGGAGATAGGCAGCGAGGTGAGTTGAGGCGTTGAGCCATGGGTTTTTTCGTCTTTTTCAACTGCCCGTCCCCTAGTGTTAGCCAACAGGTATTCAATCAAAGGTGATGATATTGAGTTATTGACAGTTGATAATAGAAATAACAAGGTGAAATCTTTGGGTTGAGATTTGAGAACTTGAAAAAAGAGTCGTGCACTACAAAAAACAATTATAAAAACAGCACAGGAAATACGCTCAATGTGTTCCCCAAAAAACAACAATTATAAGACTTTAAAATAAGCAAAATTGGGAACTTCTTGCTCCACCCAATTTGATATATCTTTCATCAAAATCGTCCACGCCCACGTCCCCCTCCCCGGCCACCACTCCTACCACCCCTTCCCCTCCCACCGCTTCTTCCACCACCACCACGTCCACCGCTTCTTCCACCACCTCGTCCACCACCTCGTCCACCACTATCACCTCTTGGCTTAGCTTCTTCCACAAACAATGTGTCATCTCCCATTTGCGAGTCATTCAGTTCAAGGGCCTTCTTCATTGCATTATTATCAGTAAATTCAACATATGCCATCCTGGTACAAGAATGATCAAATATCAAATTTACATTGGTTTTATATGAAATGATGATGATGATAATGACTAGGCAAAACTATAATTTTCGTCCCTGCAAGTATAAAAAATGCGCTGTTATATCATCTCAAAGTTGCGTTTTTTGTTCTCATTCCTGCAATTAACGTATGTTCTTTTATGGTTGCAGCAGTTAATGTTGCAATGCAAGACTTGTATAATGTTGGTTTTGACATTCATTATTCATTTACAAAAATTATAAAGTTGATGTTTGAAACGAATAACTTCAGACACTTAATAGAAGGGTGAGAACGTCAAAGACTTTGAGATTAAAAAATAACAGATTAAAAGTACGGTGTTTTCTTTCTAGTCACCTTAAACTATGAATGTCAGAAATTTAACTTCATGGAGGCTATTAATGTAGATAAAAATAAGCAAAACTAATCATTCACTTTTTAAATAGGATATCATAGAAAAGATATTAAATACTTTTTAAAAAATGAATCTATGTGAAAAGGAAATACAATAATCATGTTAGGCATGTGTGTTTTATTGATTAACAAGTCAAAGAGTGAATAACATGAAAACTGCAGATTTATGTAAGAAGCCAAGCCAAGAGGTGAGAGGTGGAAACAAAAATTGAAATTTTAGGGACCTCAACAAAAATACTACATATGTAGATTTAACAAATTCAAGCCAAATTGCAACAAAAACTACTAAACTAGTCAAGCCGGGTAAAACTACCAATACACATGCACAAATACAACCATACCGGACACAAGTGCAGACATGTTAGTAAACCAAACATGAAACGTTTACTCGCAATAAAATACCAGTTCACAAATGTAATTGAAGTGCAAATATAGCATACCCTTTAATGGAACCCTCTTGGTCAGTGGGGATTCTTGTGCCTTTAATTTCTCCACAAGAACCAAAATGCTTTTCTAGAGCACTCCTAATCTGCAAAGAGTATTCAAAGAGAAGCCATCAGAAATCAATGACGTAAAGAATGAAAACCCAAGG